CAGTGAGGCTGCACTTAATAGGCTCTGAAGCTTTAATGGACAGTTGTCTAATTATCAGTGGCAAATTTGGGTTGGTATTTTATTAGTGTTGTCTGAACTGACTCTCCTTTCCCCCCTCTGCAGCCCAACCACGATGACGACGCCTGTGCCACTGGTCAACAACACTCAGCTCTCAGTGAATGTGACCACAAAATCTCAGGAACAAAGTCTCTATCAAAGTAAGAAAAGGAATGAAGTGGTGGTTTTGTTGTTGTTGTTCTTTCCCTTTAAAGTGGATCTTGAACTTATCAAATTCCCCTTCCTGCTTCTCCCCAGGTTCTGGAGCAATAGTTGCTGCCATCGTGGTAGGAGTGATTGTTATTTTCACAGTGGTTCTGCTCATCTTGAAGACATACAACAGGTATGTGGCCAAGCTCTGTGTCCACTGAGGCAAAACCAGGTGACCTCAAGTCACTGCTCTCAGCTCAGGGAGAATTTCAGGGTTTGTTGATGACAATTTCCAGGACAATCTAAACCCTAATGTGCTGATTGAAGTGTCCTGAATGTCACTGGGGTTAGATGAGTAGGAAGCATGAGGAGGTTCTTGATGGAGGATGCTTGTTGGAAACTTTTTAGGGATTCCTGTTGATGTAGGGAAGGTCTGCTGGGTACATCAAGGCTTCCAGAAGGAGCTTGATTGCTCACTCCTCAGGGTGTTGGGTTAGGCTTTCATGCCCTGGAAGCACTGACTTGCCCTTTAGTGCCTGTGGGATGAAATTCTACCTTGCTTTGACTTCTAAATAACTTAGATTCAACCTGGTTCTGTGGGAACCTCCCCAAAACTTACCAATGGAGAGACCAACTCTGCTCAGGCCATCACCTCTGGCCCAGCCCAGCTCTGGTGACCATGTCACCTCTCCCTTTGCAGGCGCATGCGAGTGAAGAGGGAACTGGAACCCAAAACCTCCAAACCAGCAATGCCACCTCCATTGGGGCAGAACAGCAACAGCCTGGCCCAGCACCCCACAGTGACTTTCATCCCTGTGGATATCCACATGCAGAACAGGTAACTGGAAATGCTCAGCCTCCCTGTGAGAGAAGTGATGGAATTGTTCTTCACACAGACCTGGGACTCCTCAGCAGAAACTGCACTTGGATAGCACTGAGCTGGTTTTTCATCTGTAGATTGTAATTCAGCCTGATTTCCCTGTTTGGGAGGAATAATAAGAGGTCTGGACACTTTTTTTATGACAAATCAACTGGTGGAGGCATTGGAGTCACCAGGAAGGTAGTGAAGCTTCTGCAGAGCCTTGGATCTGGAGAGAATGGATAAACTGAGGAGGTGCCTGCTCAGATTTTGTGGAGCTTTTCCTTGCTCAGAGAGTTTGAACTTTCTCTGGAAGAAATATTTGGACATGCCACAGCTCAGGTTGGACCTGGGTTTCTTAGGATTGACATGGGATAGGTTTGTGGCCTATTTTCCACATGATGGATAGTACAGAAACATCAAACTTGTACTTACCATTACTCATCTTCTGTGTTTCTAATGCCACATGTGTGAGTTGAGAGAAAAAGTGACTTTTTCTGTCCAAGTATTTTGAAACTATTTCTATAAACTCTATAACTCTCCATTTCCACATGAACTCGGTGTCTGAGGGTTTTCACTCTCAACATCCAAGCTCAGCACTGGAGCTCTGTTAGTTTTGTCTTACACAACATCTGAGCTCTTTAATTGATAAAAGAAGTATGGAAATAGGAAAAAATCACCACGTACCAAGCAAGTGAAGCTTCCTTCACCCCCTGCAAGGCTTTGTGCTCTGGTGCACACTAAGCTCCAACTATTTTTAGCCATCTTTGACTCTAGAAACTAACCCAGAGTGATGTTGTTTTGCAAGTGTGATGGTTGTGGGTGTGCAGCAATGCCACAGAGAAATTCCCGGGGATACTCACAGCCCACTGAGTGGGAACACAGAGCAGCATTGTCAGACACTTAGTGCCTGATTGTCTGAGTGTGTGTGACACAGCAGCCCTGAAACAGGGGCTGACAGGAAGGATTAGGGGGAAGTTGAGGAGTTAAACCTTGGTTTAAAGTGAAGGATATGAGGAAACAGCTCCAGTCCTCACACACCTCAGATTTTATGGAATCACTCAGCAGAATGGCTGGACAGAGAGGAGAGCACAGGGAAAATGCAGCAGGATTTAGTGTGTGGTGTGTCCTGCACACAGACACTGCCATGGGCATTGGAGGGCTCCAGTCTGTGTGTGCAGACCTTAGCAAACTGTGAGTAGGCACTTGGTAAACTGTGAGTTGGGTATGAACTCCTTTTTGAGGAGTAGAGAAAGAAGTTATTGTTGTCTGCCTGAAATGATCAGAGAACCTCCAGCTTTAGAGCTCTTTGTCTGCAGCTTCTTCCCAACACATCACCAACAGGTACATCCCCAAGTCTGTCCACCCCTGGGGACAGGTGGGAGGGACTGAGGGACAAGTTGATCTATTTTGAATGTGTTTTCCAAGAAACCATCACTGGAACGGGTCATTTTTACTAACTGGTGTGGTTTTTCTGTGCAGAAACTAAACCAAATTACTTTGCAACACTATTTTTTGTCGGAAACTGGAGCTTGGTTTGAATTCCAAACTGAATATTGACACAGCTGTTTGTGAAGTTTCTGCATCTCGTGGTACATATTTCACTTGTCCTAGTTCTCTAACTCTTTTTTTTTTTGAGGCAGGGATGATTGATTTAATCATTCAGAAGGGACAGCAGATGCCAATCTTATTTTTTTCTTCTAAAAATATAAAGGAGTTGACCTTCTGTTCCTATCTCTGAGCAGCTAAGGATGTTCACTGAGCATGTTCCCCTGTACCAAAATCAAGATCTTTAGACAAGATAAGCCTCATCTTAGGGTTATTTTTAAACCTCACAAGTCAGACCTACTTCTAGCACATTTTGTTTACTTTCCATTTACTTCCCTTCAAACCAATGAGGTTCATGAGCAGAACGAGCAGAACTAATATAAGCAATTCTAATTTCATAGAATTACTATTTTTGGCAGGAGAATTAGAGCTTTGGCCACACCAGAATTGCTCAACCTAAAACATTCAAATAGCAATAAAATTTGCCTTGTATTGGCCCATCCTGGGAGGCCTCCACGATCCCTGCTGACTCCTGGCTGCAAATCCAGAGCTTGTGCTGAGCAAGCAAAATCACCTTCTGAAGAAACAAAAATCACTCTATTCCCTCTGTGTTTTCACTGGTGTAATTTGCTGTGGATTTAGGTTTTTCCAGGAGCAATCCCACACTCTCCTTGTCCTGCCACAGCAGCTGCTGAAGTGTCTTGGCACACAGATTCCACTTCCAAACCTCCAGATTTTGGGAAAACTCCCTTTCAGCTGCCTCTGTGTCCACACCTTCCTCCAGGCAAACCTGCTGGTTAAAGGAACAACTGAGAGCTGAGAGTGCAAATTGGTTTGGTAAGGAAATCCTCCACCCTGGAAGGCTTTGGAGGGAACAGAACATGCAAGTGTCACACACTGATTGTGATTCCTTGGAGATTATCCATGAAACTCTGGAGATGAATAAAGTTTGGGCACTCCTGGCACAGTCCCTCAGTGCCTTTTCTTTGGCAGTGTGATACAAACACTTCCAGCCCCTCACTCTGTGCTTTGGTTGTTTCTGTCTTTCAAACACCACTGGGGCTGAATTCAGCAGTGCAATGAGAACATTTGGGCTGTAGGTTGTAGAAACAACATCATTAATTTTATTTTTTTTGCTTATGGTCACCCTCAATACTTGGATCTTGCAAGAATCAGTGGTTGGATTTATACTCCTAAGTCTTCCAGAATTAGCATCTTCAACAGGTCGAATCCTTCAGTCTCACACTTGGCACTTTACTGATGCAAGGACAGTGGTAAAGTGTTTAATTTCTCACTGCTGGGAAAGTGCTGATCCCAAATTCCTTCCTGGCAGCAGCTCCTGCCCTGTCCTCACTCTCCGTGTCCCAGCGGAGCGCACGGAGCTCCATCTAGTGTCCTCATCCCTTCCCGCCGCTTAACTCGTATTCCCAACGAAACAATTCCACGTTTAGCTGCCGAATTTATCCCATTTTACACACTCCCTGTACCCACAGCTTCTCCCTGACCTACGAACTGAGGAGCAGCTGCGTCTAGCACTGTCTGGTGTTTAGCTGTGCAAAACGCAAATCACTGTGAGCTGAAACATATAAAATATAGCAATGTCCTTTGGGTCTTTTCCTGAGTCCCAGAACCTATTTATTGTCAAAAAACAGGTCTGTAAAATCCTATGTCTCACGTGTGACACTTGCAAACGACTGATGATGGGGCAAGGAGCTGCTGTTGGGCCTTAAGGAGAAATCAATTGTATTTAAAGGCATTTTTAGGAGCTGTTCCCGGGGCTGGAGAGATGGGTTGATTCCACGGGATGAGGTTTAACAAGGC